CCTCAATGGTTGGAAGGAAAGGGGACATTTGAGACAGCTGCTAGATCCTGTGTGGTTATCTGATGCCCTGTTCTTTTCTTCCTCTATTAAATTTTTTTCTTCCCCCATTCTTGGGGCTCAGCATGTGCCAACGTGTCTTTAAGCCTGAGTGTCACCCCAATACTCTGTTAACCCAGCAATGGGGCGTCCAACCTTTGTTTTCCACTCTTCATCTCAACTCTTGGGCTCTCCCCCAGGAGGAAGTGTGGGGAGCTTATATCCTGTATGACTTGTCTTCCCAAATCTGTCCAGCCCATCCAACCCAGGCAGCATCAGGGACTTAGAACCACTCTCCCTCTTGCTTCCTCTTGATGGGCTTGGTCTCCTCTGGAATTCACCAGATCCCAGGCCAGATCTACCATTCTCACACCCACTCCTCACATCAGCAGACCTGCCCCTGCCTCGCAGAGGGAGGAAGAGAAACTCATCAGGTGAGCATCTCCGTTCACCAAAGCAAGGTGCTAGTTGTGCAGCCGAGTGGAAGTGTGCCTTTTTATCGCCATGGTCTCCCGCATCTCAGCTAGGGACACAGTCACCAAGACACTTGGGCCATACCACAGGAATTCCCCAACTATTAGCCACAAAGTCTTAAAAGGGATCACTATCAGTGAAATTTCTGGGACAAATGTCCTGCCCTATGAAGCCTGCTGCCTTAAGACATTCTTTGTCACCTGTAGATCCTGGGAACAAAGGCAGATGCAGGGTGTAGCCCAAAAAGTGAATCATCTGTGAAGGAACAGCCATTGAGTACTCAGTGTGAATCAGGCTGTTATGCAGTTCCTGGATTTTTGTTTTTTAGCTGTACTGGGGATTTGAACTCAGGGCTTCCCACTCGCTAGATAGGAGCTCTACTGCTTGAGCCACACCTCCAACCCTTTTCCTGTTTATTTTGGAGATAAGAGTCTCGCTTTTTGCCCAGGCCAGTCTGGACTGAGAGCTTCCTATTTTACATTTTCCACCATGGCTGGGATGACATGCCACCACACCCACCTTTTTCCTTTGAGATGGAAACTTGCAAACTTTTTTGTCCAGGCTGGCCTGAACCTCCATCCTCTCCATCTGTCTCCCGAGGAGGTGCTAGGATTACAGGCATGAGTCATGGGAGCTCTATTTGAATTACTTTTATTACTGACCCTATTTTTATAGAGGAGGAAACTGTGGCTAAGAGAGAGTAAATGACTTGCTAAAGGACCCACAGTAGGGGACAGCACTGGGAGTCCACCCAGGCCAGTAAGCCCCAAGCCTCCTTGTGTGCCCTTTCACACAGGAGCAGGCTCGGATGTCACTGCGGGCTGGGGAAGTACCCCAGGTCAGGTCACAGTTTTCCAGGGACCTGTCGAGGAGTGATTTGTTAGGTCATTCTTGGTTGCGCTCTCCTCAGACCAATGAGCAGGGCCAGTCCTTCCATTAAAGGTAAATGCTGTTCTTCCACAAAGCATTTTAACAAGTGCTTGTGTGCCTGGTCCAGCTGACTTCAGAAATCCAAAGTGGATCAGAGACTCCCCTTAACACAGGGAAGCCAGCCAAAACGCTCCCTTCACATATGGAGAACTTGCCACTAAAAGGACTATTGGATATTTTCATCCTGGACCTCAGTTGTGAGGTCCAGCTTTAGCTTCTTGTCACTGTGGATAATCCTGGACGAGAAAGTAAGAAATGACAGCACACTCGGCCAGCTTCCTTACACCTCACTCTACTGTGCTCTAATTTCTGGCAAACCCTTGAACTACTCCTCTGAAGCTTAAATCTTGCAACTTGGTGAGCAAGACCAGGCCTCTAATCCTGCATTTATGCAAATCAGCCTTTTCATGGATACCTCATGGGGAGGCTACATTCATTTCATTTTTCTAAACACTGGGTGGATTTTCACAAAGGGCCCAGAAAGGGGTCATTTTACTCCATAATAACCCCCCCCTTTTTTTTTTATAATTTAGTTCCTGGAAGAGAGCATTTGGGGGAGAAAAATTAGGCAAAAATAATACTTAACATGGAACCATTGTGGGTAAGGGATAAACAGTCACATTTTCAGCTACTGGCCAAGCCGGCAGCTGCAAGAAGTTGATAAGGATGCAGAAAACGGGGCTGGGGGGCAGAGGAAAGCATTGGAAAGTCTGGACTTAATTAAAGAAAAAGAAAAGGAAGGGAAGAAAATGAGAGAGAAGGGAAGGGAAAAGAAGGGAAGGGAATGGGAAGAGAAGGGAAGCACCACTTCTGCTTTTTACCCTCTGTCTCGTTCCCCTCTGCACGTTCTGGGAATTTTAAAGAATCACAGGTGGATTCCGGTCCATGACTGCCATGGGCTCCATCACTCTGATGTTCTTCTGTTTGTACACACAAGAAGCCTCTCACAGCATCTATGTTGTGTGCAGAACACAGCCTGGTGTGCTGTGTGGCCTCGCTGTACCGAGATGTCCAGTGCCTGCTAACTGACCACTTCCCAGTCATGGCGCACTATACCATTTTTAGAAGGACGGTGTGGTGCTGTGCTGTACAGACCACGGTGGCCCGGAAGGTCTCCCTCATCCTGTTTCCACCCAAATAAACAACAACAAAAACAAGAGCACTAGAGGGCTTAAGTTCTGCAGCTCCCAGGTTTGATGCACGTCCATGGCGCCAGGAGCAACACAGTTGTGACAGGGTAGAGGCATGGTCTAGGACATTTTAGCACATGGCAATAAAATGTCTTAAGAGATGTAAAAAAAACTGTACAAAACATCATTTAAGCTGGGGGTGGGGCTGCAATTCATGAACCTTTAGCCTAGCAGGTCAGTGCCAAGGGCAGAACCCCAGGCCACTGCAGTATAGTCCTATAAAGGAAAGTGACTGGTTAAGGGGAAGGAGGAAGGGAGACTCCAGAAAACACAAACAGCCATATTGTCAACATAATTTACTACAGGTCTCAAGTGTATATAAAACGTTTTAGTGCAACATCTTACAAATAGTTTTTCCTTTTAGAAAAAAAAAAAAAAAAACAAAACCAAGTCAACAGCTCTCTACATCATGCATGGGTCGTTTTCTTACCCCATCTGTTTTTTTTGTTCTTCTTCTTCTTAACAGTTAACGCAGAGAAACCATTGTTTGCAAAAAAATATGAAAACTTGCTACAGAAACACCCTGGTGAACGAGGGTGTGGTCATATCCATTCCTGGGATGCTCCTAGCACAGTGTAGATTTTCACAAATGCAACATTGTAGGTGTACATAACAGTATCCAGCAGTTTTCCTCTTGAACTCAATTTGTCACTGAACTCAAACTGTCCAGCAGACAATGTGCAATGAGGGCTCGCAGCCACTGGAGAGCACCATCACCACTCACCTGACACCACATTTCCATAGAAATGGCCACAGAACGAAGGTTCTGGGTTTTTTTTATTTTTTGTTTTTCATAGAAAGCTCAAAAAAGCTTAGCCTTTGATGGTATCCCTCAGTCCTATAGAAAATACACAGAAAAAGCAATTATTAAAATACTGGCTTCGGTTTCTTTTTTCCTTTCAAACTTCCTGTCCTTGCGTCACACATTTAATTATGTGTAGCATCTACTTATCTACAGCTGTGACCCAGTTCACACTGAAGTCTTTAATCCCGGCCAGCCCTCTGGTATCCTTCCATTCAGAGGAAAAGTCAGTCAACTTCCCTCGTGGACTCAACCTAAAAATCAAGAGTCACCCAATTTCCCACTGACGTCCTGCACCCCTGAAATGAAGAAACAGGGCAAAAGACATTCTTGCTTCATGACTTAAGCCAGTTCTGTACCTCGAATGCATTGCTGCAGCCTTAGTGAGAATCAGGATGGTAGGCACCAGTGGGATGAAAGTGGCACAGCCTACACCTTGTCTCACAGGAGAGCACTGGAGGGTCCTGGCTGAGCAGCCCCTGTTGCCCACACAGCCACAGAGCCCTGGTGAGCACCCATACTCATGGGGCCTGGGAAACCCTTCTCCCTTGGAGTCTGTCCATTCTCAGAACCGCATTCACAGGAATCTCTTCTTAAGACTTAGTTCCAGCATCCTTGGTGACTTTTTCCAAATGGGACCCCCCAACAACTGGGGAAAGGAGATGGCACACGTGGCCAGCAGAATATGGGGAAGCAAGGGTACAAAATGCCTTTAAGGAGTGAGCAAAAGGAACTATTTGCAACCGGGGATGTTTCAGAGGAGCTAAGCACCTGGCCCAAGAGTGTGGCGACACTGATCACTGGGGTAGTAACACTGAAAACTCAATACCAACCAAGAAAGCTAAAACCACTAAAAAGAAAGATCCAGGCATGTGCTCACTGCTCAGGCTAGGTAAAACAGCAAGGATTATATGCTTTTCTTTTTTGGAGACAGGGTCTTGATATATAATCCAGACTAATCTCAAACTCTTGATCTTCCTGCCTCAACCTTCCAAGGGCTGGGATTACAGCTGTGTGCCAAGACACCAGACTTAATGGCAAGGATTGCAAAGAGCTATGTCTAGCTGAATATCGTCCAGGATGATATTCTCATGGCAGTGAGATGTGGAGAGAGAGAATAACCAAGATATCATCAGAACGAGGAAGAGACATCTAGACATCTACACCTCCGGGGCAGAATGCCTCCAGGCTCCCTACCGCTAGGCCCTGGACACCCCATCTCACCTGTTACTGTCACCGGCTGGCCCAGCACCCTACACCGGGCACGCAGTGGCTGCTTCAGCCCCTGGGCTCAGCTCAGGACTGTCCTCCTTCCAGGCTCCCTGGACACTTTCCCTTAAGAGTCTGGCAAAGCACCTGAAGTCAAAGCCACCTGCTCACAGCCATCAGACACTGCACCTGCAGAACAGATCAGGCCAATAACAGCCTTCTCTCCTTCCTTCTCAAATCACTAGCTTGGATTGATCTGAGGTTGGTGGCTGCAGCCCTCCACTACTTCAGCTAGGAAATCATGGGTTATTTGACCTTTTGACTTATTATTTAAAGAAATCAGTGTTCTTATCTTTTGACAAGGATGGGATGAAGGCCTTTTGGCCTCCCTGACTGATAGGCTGGCCAGACACCATTCCCTCCTAATAGGGTTACACAGGATTCCTCTGGCACATACACAGTTCTTTGAAGCAAAATTCGATGCTTTCGTCTTGACTATAAAGTGGTTCCAACAACTCCAGCTGAGGGAAAAGATAAGATACAAATTGGGCCCACGCTACACACATTTTTCAAGTCTTGTTAAGAAAGTAAAAAAAAAAAAAAAAATGTTTGGGTGTATTTTGATCCACAAGTGTGGCATTTTCAAAATGTGCCCAAACAAAAAGTCTTGGAAGAGATCCCTTGTTACTATAAAGCAGTCCTTCCTCTTGCCATCGGTGGTGTATGAGAGACATTTGTCCACAAGGTTATGGAATCCAAAAGGGGTAAACCAAAGGGATTTTAAAAGAGGACATTACAAAGAACCCCTGTGACATCTATCGGAGAACACTAGATAAACTGGTGGGTAGGAGTGGCACCTGGAGCTACTCACTACATTACCAAAACCCCAAACTAGAAGCCTATGATGGCAGGGTCACGACATTTGGGCGCAAACAGCTAAGGAACCAAGACTGCCACCTGGAGGCAGTCGTCTCTGTGACCGGTGGGGGACTGTCCAAGTCTGACGGTTTTCTTCACCAGTCCTGCAGAATTTGGCTGCTGCCAACCGTCCAATCACAGAGCAACAGGCAGCGAAGGGGAGCCACAGCTCCTCCATGGCTGATGTCCACTGGGGCATGCCACCCCTGCCACCAGCTTAGTCTATAGCTCCTGGGTGGATGCTGAGCACAGGGGGCTCCAGGCAAGTGGGGGAGTAGTTGAGGTGCGGCTCTTTGATCCACAACAGGGGCACCCCGTTCTTCCCGTCGGAGTTCTTGCTGGAGTTCCGGCTTTTGAAGCGCACCAGTAGGATGGTGATGATGAGGATGCCGAAGATCGGGAAAGGGTAGAAGAAGACAAAGTAGAAGAGTGCGTCATTGGAGCAGATGAGAGACTGGAGGGTGGAACCTGGGAGGGACACGAGAGACAACATGCTGAGGTTTTCGAGCCTGGACTGCCCACACCTGCTCCCGAAGACCCCCGCTACAGCTGCCCTGCCTTTCCTGCTCCCACTAAGGGCACACACAATACTTCCCCTTCACAGCTAGAGGGTCAAACAACGCCATGTTTCCACTTTCCAGAGAGAGCCCTTGTTTCTGCTTGGAAAGCCTTATAATAATGAAGTGCAGCGTACCGACCGTGAACCTGACTGCGTCTAGGACGGTAACGAGGCTGACTGCAGTTCAGTCTGAACTTGCTGGGTGGTTATATTTCACACGCCCCTTTGCATTTAGTTCTGCTTCAAACGCCCTTCTCAGGGAACATTGCTTTCCTGTCGGCTCCTAAGAGCAGCTGTACTACAAGTGGTGCTCTTGGTAAATGGGATCACCGCCTTTATGGACTGATGGTGCCCAACGTGTCAGGGGCGGCACAGTGCAGTTATGGCTCGATACGGAAAAGAATGAAACCAGGAGCCCTGGTACCCAGAGGAGGGGCTGCTCTATAATTCACCTGACCTTGCTGGGAGCCTGGTCTCTGAAAGCCTACACTTTCCCTGAAAAACAGGGCTGCTGAATGATATGTATCCCTCTGTAGCTTAACAGTTGTAAGTGTCCACAAGTAGACATATAACATGTGCTCTAAACACCTCCTCTTTCACGTTTGGGGTGTGGTGGTTCAGCCCTGCAATCCCAGCTAGAGGTAGGAGCATCAAGTTCCAAGGCCAGCCCAGGCAAAGTTAGCTCAAGACTCTATTTGAAAAACAACCTGGAAGCAAAGGGGCTGGGGGTGTGGCTCATTCACCCTTGCCTAGCAAGCACGAGGTCCTGAGTTCAATCCCCAGTATGGGGTCGGGGGAGTTAACAGAAATTTTCACTTGTTAGATTTGCAAAGTACATGAAGCTGCTGATGGTTAGGCTCTTTAGGTCTACCAGATTTCAATTTCATATTGTTTCATTAAATGTAGCATTAACAAGGAGGGGATCAAGGCAAAGAAAGAAATGATAAACTCACAGCCTCAGCAAGACTGTGAACTGGTATTTTTGCTGGGTTTTTTTTTATTTGTTTGTTTGTTTTTTGAGATAGAGTCTTACTCTATAGCCCAGGCTGGTTGGAACTCACAATCCTCCTGCCTCCACCTAGTTCAAAAAAAATGTTTTGACTGAAAAGAAGCTGACAATTCTAACAAATTTTAAAATTTCTGCATAACAAGCTAATTCTACTAGAGCAAACACCATGTTGAGTCTGATATAGTTCATATTTTGTCAGAGTGCCTTTTTAGACTAAATAATTCAAGCCGGTAAGTCTTTCCTCCTGTCTGCTCAGAGCGAGAGTGCTGTGTTCAGGGGCACTCTGCAGTAATGGGGCTGCAGCTCTGTGCCTCTCACCCCTCACTGCCCTTCAAGGCTGGTCCTTCCCACTAACCAGGCAAAATCCACCTAAATCTCATCTACCTCCAAAATAAAAGCGATCCAGAAATGTAAGAAAAGGACAGACAGTGAGGTGTAGTCAGGCTTCACTGTCTTTCTTCCTGTTCGGAATGTGAAGCCTTGCTAATTCACTGAGGAGAGATGAGACTGAGTGTTCAAAAATGGTGGGTGCCGGTGGCTCATGCTATAATCCTAGCTGCTCAGGAGGCAGAGATGAGGAGGATCACAGGCATTAGTTCTACAGACTCTGCCTCGGAAAAAAAAAAAAAAAATCACCAAAAAGGCTGGTAGAGTGGCTCAAGGTGTAGGCCTTGAGTTCAAACCCAATACCACACACACACAAAAAAGGAACAAAGTAACATCTCAGGACATACTTGCACCAGGAACTCTTACCAAAAATAGGCAGGTGGAACATCAGCCTTATCCGAAAGATTATAGGGCATATTATCACTTTAATTCCTATTCCTGCTTTGTTTTCTTTTTGCCTGGGCAGTCGAGGGTCAATTACATGAACTAGAACGTCAAATCCCACCATATCTCTTTTTAATTGTTTTGGTGGTGGGATCTGAACTCAAGGCCTTGGGCTTGCCAGTCAAGCACTCTACCACTTGAACCACTCATCTACCCACAAGTTCTACCATATTTCAAATCTACTAACAGATATTCCCGACAATCAGGAAAACTGCTTATTAGCCCAACGTGGAGCTCTGAATTTGTCTCCCAGGCATAGCTGGAGTCAGCGGTGACAGCCCTCCTCCGTTATGGGGAAACTCACTTGTGTCCAGCACATGGATGACAATGGGAGCAGACTCCTCCTCCGTCAGCCGGTACCACTCCTTCTGAGGGCTGGGCAGCCACTCCTCCACATGGCAGGAGTAGTTGCCCGTGTCGTGGGGGCTGGCCTGCAGCACTGTGAGCCGGTAGAGCACGGGTGACAGCCTCTGGAAGCGCAGCCGGCCTTCCCAGGGGCTGCCCTCTGGGCCGAAGACTGCATCTGGGCCCACGCTCAGCAGGACTGTCCGTTCTGTTGGGTCGTTCTCCTCCTCCTCCTCCTCCTCCTCCTCCTCCTCCTCCTCGTGTTCTCCCACGGCAAGGCTGTCCTTTTTCCCTCCCGCTTTAGTCCTTAGGGAATACCAGGCCACAGCAAAGCGAGAATCTTGGCTCGAGCGAGACACGATGCTGCAGTCCAGCTGAAAAGCTGCTTTCTCAGACACTGTGGCATTGGGGACCACTGTGTCTACCTGGAGGGCAGCATCTAGGGAGGGACAGGGGACAAAGAAGAGAGGAGAGGCTGACTTCTTAGCAAGTGTGAGGCCCTGAGTTCAAACCCCAGTACCACCCAGAAAAACCCAAACAAACCCAATATTATGCTGTAGTAAAAATATCCACCCACTGGATTTTGAGTGTCCATTGGAAAGGCACACGGGTGACGTGCAGACATGTGGAAACAGAGTCAAGAAAACGATGTATTGTACTTATCACCGTTCACAGAAAAGAATCTCTTTCTTACATACCTATTTACATTTGCATAAATATCTGTGGAAGAATTTGCAAGAAGCTGGTAATGTGGCTGCATGTAGTACTTCAGGGAGGGACACTGGTTCTCACTGTGGATGACCCCTTAATAGTGTCCCTCTCAAAATTCACGTCCACGTAGAACGTCAGAATGTGACTGTGCTTGGAGAGAGATTATTGGTAGGTGTAATCTGCCAAGCCAAGGTCACCCTGGGTTGAGTTTGGCACAAAGTGCAATATATTGTCCCCACATTCACAGGCTGAGATCCAAACTCCAGTGTGACTGTATGTGGAGAGAGGGCCTTTTTGAGGTCATGAAGGTTTGAGGCCAGAAGGGTGGGGCCCTAATCTGGTAGGATAAGTGGTTTTATAAGAAAACAAAGAGACAAAGCTCGCTCTCCAGGCTCCACCATGTGGGGCCAAGCTCAGATACAGAGAGAAAGTGCCATCTGCAAGCCAGTAAAGGCCCTCACCAAAACCCAACCACACCAGACCAGACTGCCAAGCCTCCAGAACCCTGAGAACATACGTCTGTCACTTAAGCCCCCAGCTGAGTTATTTTGTTATGTCAACCAAGAAGACTAATACAATTGGTGTTCTCATAAGGAGACGATGCACAGAAAGAAGGCCCCTGACATGGGGGCACAGACTGGAGACACACTACAGTGCAGACCAGGAATGCCTGGAGGGGAGGCAGAAGCTGACAGAGTCCAGGGAAGCCTCTTCCTCAGGGAGCGTGGCTATGCTGACACCCTCATTCTGACCTCAGAACTGTGTCAGAATCAATTTCTTGTGTGCTAAATAGTTTGTGGCAATTTTTTATAGTAATCCTAAGGAAGCAATGGATCTATTCGGGAACTCTGGAATTTATACTGTGTGCACATCCTCCCCAGGGACTGAAGCTAAAAGACCCACAGGCTCCAAAGGGCCTTTCCCTGAGTGTGAACCTCTCAGAAAGGCGTACGTGAAGTGTGCTCCCAACTCATGTGGGAGACACGGTCACCACAGAGAGAGACTCAGGACAGGAAAGTCACAGACCCCACCAGATAGGCCGTCATCTGAGATTTTTGCTGTGTTTAGTTTTGACTCACTGTGGTAGGTTCTAACTCCCTTTGGCTGTGTTTATGAGATGTTCATCAAAGATCCAATGTAACGTTCACAGTAGACATGGCGAATCAGATTCGACTTGGATGGAACCAGAAGCAGCATTTCCCAAGCACTGGCAGCACGTTGGCTCGATGCTGCTCACAGGTGAACCCAAAGTTGGGCTTCCTCGTGCTTTTGTGGGGCTCTGCTGAGCTCCTCCACATCCCCCATCATCTGGAATTTCAATGTGCACACAACAGGAAGGCCCAGAACTTCCCTGCCAGCTCTGGCAGGGAGGACAATGTGCTCAAGGACAGAAAATGGCAGGATGGCCATCAGTCCACAGATCAGTTCACATCTGAGAACTTGACCACTGACCAAGGACCTTGGTGTTTCCTCTCTTCCAGTGTCTGGCACAATATTCCAAAGCTCCTGCAACTGGCTGTGTATCACAGGAGGTGACCCTGGCCAATGTGCAATGCCACCCATCATAGCAAGGGGGCCACATGGTCACACCGTCGTCAGATGCTTAATTTCCCCAGGCCCCCTTCCCCACCACATTCCCTCTGCTCTCTTCTCTCCTAATGGCTGGCCATGGCTTCTGGCCCTGTCTACAGCCTTGTGTATTAATGACTCAATGCAAGTTTTTTGAGTGAATTTCCATCTTCTATGTCCTCCCTCCCTCTACGAGTGGTTCCCTGTGTCTGTCTCTTCTAGAACTGGCCAGTCCTTTTCCCTGTTCTGATGTCAGCATTCTCCTTTTCTAAGGATAAGATGTTTGTCTCAGCCTGACCTCTCCACCTCATACCAACTGCTCCCCTGGCTGCCACCTTGACCTCTACCTCCTGAGCTGTGGGTGGTTTCTCTCTTCTCCAGTTTTGTGAGCTGAGCACAAATGCTAATTTACTTAACTATAATTCCATCGAACACAGGAGCCCTTTATCTATTTTATTCTATGAAGAATGGCTGTTCCCAAGCAACAGAAAGATGTTAATGATCTTAACATCTCCGAGTCACACTATTTTAAGTCTTCTATGTGTTCACCTTACACTTCAGAACAAATCTTTAAAGTACATCTGCACGATGAATATTATGCAGTCAGTAAAAATGGTCGTTATGCTTTCAATGCTCATAAAAGAACACTGAGTGGGTAAAAAAAACAGTGTGGTCTGGACTCTGTTTAGAGCAGGAGGCAGCAGGAAGATGAAGACATAAGGCAAAGATAAAAATACACACCAGAGTATTAGTAGCAGATGGCTATAGGGAATGAGGTTTTTGGGTAACATTTCACAACTATACTTTTCTGTTTTGAATGTTTTGTAAGTATATCAACTTACACAGGGGCAGACAGACAGACAGAAGGAAGTCAGGGAGGGAGATCTAGACTGGAGCGTCTGCAGGGTCCCAGGCTTAAGGGCCACAGTGGGGACATACAATGTGCGTGGCAGGAAGGAAACTCTCGTGGCTGCTCCTCCTGCTCTTGTTAGCTGCAGAATCCCTCAGGATTCCTTTTTCTCACTAGTAAAACCTACCACTCGGGGTTGCTAGGAAGACTGAGCATATGTCTCCTAACTCTGGCAGGGATATAGCTGGTGCTCAATAAATGTCTCCCCCCATGCCAGGCGCCAGTGGCTCATGCCTGTAATCCTAGTTACTTAGGTGGCAGAGATCAGGAGGATTATGGTTTAAAGCCAGCCTGGGCAAATAGTTCATGAGAGCCTATCTTGAAAAAGTTACAAAAAAGGGATAGAGTGACTCAAAGTGTAGACCCTGAGTTCAAACCCCAGTACTGCAAAAAAAAAAAAAAAAAAAAAAGTCTCCTCCTACTCCACCAGGCCCCCATGCAATGAGGTCAAACTGGGTGGCAGTTGGGGAAGAGCAAACGCCTGTCATTCTCTACAATTTCACCTCCAGGAAAAGACAAACAGCAGTGTCCAGACTAGCTAAAAAACAAAAGCAAAAACAAAAACAAAAAACCAGCAACTAAATACAAGTGTAAAAGCCCAAGGGAAAATATGAGTAACTCAAAGTAGAGGTGACTTCTCCTTCAGCTTAGGTGACACATGTGACCGTGATAATGCCCATTCCTGAAACAAGGGTTGAGTTCACCTCTCAAAGTGTGTTGGGGCTCAGCGCAACCATGAGACTCCAAACTGCCACCCCAGACAAGAGTGGCTCAATCCAGACACGAAAGCTTCCAAGAGCACAAAGACCTCAAGAGCGAACACCAGGATACTAGAAAATAAATGAGATGCAGCGTCACATGTCACAGGACAGAGGCCACAGACCCAGCACTGCTCCATGTCCTCGTGGGCCTGAGGACTTGTGCTCTGATGTGGGTGAATGAGGTGTTACTGCAAAAGACCTAACGAGGTGTTTACAGGCATGACAAGTGCATCTGGTAATTAGGTGCATTTAGTACCTCAGAAACAGCAACAGGGACAGGTGAGCAAAAGGCCACAGTCATTAGTGCCAATAAAATTATTAGCAAGTGAGAGAGGACCTGGAGAATTCTATTTAAAGAATCCTTTTCCAATGAAAGCCAGAGGTTTAACTTTTTGATCACGTGGTTACGGTTTCAGGATTTTCTTTTTTGTGTATTAGCTACTTGACCAGATCTGAATATATTCTTTAGAAGAAAATATTCTATGATTTGTAATAATTAATTGCTAGCTTTTATTCTCATTAAGAAATCCAGGGAGGGGTGAAGAGTATAAACACAGTATAGTGAAAGCCACTAAACGCTGTTTGAAAAAAGAGAGAAGGAGGGCTGGTGGAGTGGCTCAAGTGTACAGTACCTGCCTAGCAAGCATGACGCACCCAGTTCAAATCCCCGTGCTGTCAAAAAAAGAGGAGGAAGGAACCAGAATGTAATGGGAGGGATGTGAATCTGTTCAAGGTACACCGTACACAAATATAAAATTATCACAATGAAATCCCCTATTATTAACATATGCTAATTCAAAAATCAAATGTAAAAAAAAAGAGAAAATAAATTGCCCTAGGCTAGATACATGATCTTCCATTCACAAGAAAAAAACCTGACAATTCTGAATACAAATGTGTCCTAAAAGGCTCATCAATTTAATTGCAAGTGATTAAATAATAAACTCATTTTACTAGGCTAAAATACCACACTTCCAGGGGAACCAGCAAAGGGTGGAGGCCGGGGACCTGAGGCCTCACCTGGTCGCATGACGGTCACGGCCGTTTGCCCGGCGGTGTCCTCGGCACGCTTGTACCACACGCCGCTGGGGCTGGGCAGCCACTCCTCCACGTGGCAGCTGTAGGTTCCGCTGTCCTGCACGGCCACGTTCTGGATGAAGAGCCGGTACACGCCAGGGGACGGGCTCTCCAAGTGCAGCCGCCCCTTCAGGTTGTTCTTGGCGGCCTGCTCGCCATAGTGGAAGGTCGCCTCGCGGCTCAGGCGGGCCACAGTCTCCCGCTCCGGGTGGTTGGGCTTCCACACGAACCACTCCACCCCAAGCTGGGAGGCCGTGCTGGTACGGTTCACAACCACGCACTCCAGCTGCACCTGCCGGGTCTCCAGGACCGACAGGTTGCCCTGGGCCTGACTGACCTTCAGCCGGCTGTCTGCAACAGAGAGGACAGAGATGTCGCCACGTACATGTAATGCACATGCATTCTTCCATGGAGGGGTGACAGGAGCCTTCCGGGTGTCTGAGAAACACACACATTTCTCAGATGTGCTACCCTAAGCATGCTGCGTTCCTGGGCTGTGTAAGTGCCCAGGGGACAAGGAGTCCAGTGTTACAGGAACTGCTGTCCCCCTGGGTTCAGAGGCTTGGGAAAAGGCAGACTTGAGTTGTACATATCCAAACAACGACAGCCCATGAAGCACACACTGACTGATGGGGTGGCTGGGAAGAGGGTACAGTTGAGAACCCCCCTCACAGTGAGGTGACTGATGTCACAACAGCTGGACTGTCAACCACAAAAGAACTGGTGAGGAAAGCCAAGTTCGTATGTCCATGGCTGGCCCACAGAGTCACTTCCAGCTCCAGGTGGGGAAGAGAATGGATCTGACATCAGCAAAGGACAGATGACAGGACAGATGGTCTGAAACTCACTAAAAGTCACTAAAGACTTCTCTTCAGTGTGGAAATGCCGTGATTTTTCTACATGCCCCACTGACATGCCTGCACACTCAGCAAGGTCCCTCATGGGTTCATCTGAACCACAGGGATCTAAAATCTGAAATGCACCTTGGGCAAACACCCCTCAGTTTTTTGAGGGGGAAAGCCGGACACTTTCATCCTTTACCTTCCACATTTCCATAATTTTGAAATGTTTTAGACTGCTGTTAGAATTAAAAGGTTAAAAAATAGCAGAAAATGTATTTTAAACAGTTACTCTCTTCTTCAATATACCTGTAAGATGGTAACTCTGCTTATCTTTGAGCTGAAAGATTATTATTAAACTCATTGTGTTTTCTTTTTCTCTCTCTCTTTTTTAATTTTCAAAGGCTTTGTGTATGCTTTCTCATGCTGGGGGAGTAGAATAAGAACCAGAAAAAAGATAAAGATGCAAACCAAAAATCTGAACCAGATTTAAGTAAGCTGTTTTAATCAATGTGTTACGAGTTTTCTGTTCAATGTTCAAATCCACAGTAACAGAGATGTCACTAAATGTGTTGACAGGGATCCTTATGGTCCTTCTGCACTGTCCTACTCAGCTTGACCTTAGGCCCAGATGTGGAAATTGCCTTGATAAATTGGATCCACCAAGATCTCTTAGCTAGAGAGGAGATGCGGAAGGCAAGGTAAGGTTCTCCCTGCTGAGGAAGTCACCAGGACTGAAGCAGCCAGGCACAGGGACAGAGAACACTGCGTAGACTTTAATTCTCAAAGGCCCAAGGCCAGCAGTCAGGACACAGGTCACGGGAAACGCCCACAGGAGCCATGTCAGAGTGTCAGAAGAGGGAGGGCTTCCTGCTGAATGCTCCAGTCGAGGTTTTGCAGCCAGAGAACATCCCAGGACTCCCAATGTCCTCAGACGAGGCGGGGAACAGTGTTACTGCATCCAGCACTGGCCAGGCCACAACTGCACTTCTGTGTCCACCCACTGGCTTACTAAACAAATACTGATTCCTGCCTAGGTACTAAGGGATGGTGAAGGAAACCATCCCTGTGCTCACACAGGGAGCTTTAAGTCTAGTGGGAAAAACAGACAACAGACACAAAGATGTATATGCTTACATAAGTAAGTATACGTGTTATATTTGACTATATATGAGTAAGCAAGATACAGTACCTGATAAGTGGATTATAATTATAAACACGAGTAAGTGCTTTGTGATCGCTTACGTATTAATAAGTAAATGAAAGAATGAGTTGTGATGTAGACTGTGAAGAGACTGGAGAAGGGAAATCAGAGTGACTTGTGCTATTTAAATGAAAACGGCCTTCGAACAGCTCTCAGAGAAAGTGCTAGGTAAACGAGCATCAGTGTCTGTTATGGTTGGATATGAAGTGTCCCCAGAAGGCTCATGTTGGGGGCTTGGTCCCAGAGAGGAGCACTATTTTGGGAAGTTTCGGAGACTTCGGGAGGTGGGGCCTAGCTGGAGGAAGTAGGTCACTGGGGCGGGTCCTTGTCCCTGGCCTCTTCCTGTCTCCCTCTCTCTCTCTGCTTCCTGTCTGGCATGATGTTCTACCCCCAGAAACACAGAACCAAGTGACACAGACTAAATTCTACAAAACCATGAGCCAAAAATCACTCTTGGCTCCCCTTAGATTGTTTTTGTCAGGAATTTTGTCACAGTGAGACAAGTAACAAATTCAGAGGCCAGCCTGTTCCAGACCAGGAGAATAACAAGTGTAAGGGCCGTACTCTATGGTGTTCAAGGAATTAACCACTTTCTTCCTAGTCACCCAATACTTACTAAGGAGGCCGTGCCCACAGCAGAAGACATAAAGACAGACCTGTCCTGATGCTTCCAGGGTAGTGCCAACAAAATGCAGATAATCATTACACTCTGCGTATTAAGGGATACATGATAATATGGGAAAAACCAGGGTAGACTTCGTGGAGGTGGTGCTGAGTAAAGTCTTTGTCATGGGGTGAAGAGAAGGGGATAGGGAGGAGCATAGCCTTCACATGGTGGAAGGAAATGACCCTCCTTATCTTGGGTTGTTCTAGGGGCCGATCTAAAACATGACAGGGAAATGACAGGGAGACACACTTCAATAATTTAGGCTGCTGCTAGTGAAGCAGAGGCTGGCTCACTCTCCTGCACATGCTCCTACAGAGGCTGGATGCCACCTGTCAGGGTGAAGGACTCTACCCGGGGTGAGAGAGGGGCTGAGGGTGATTGGGTCTCAAGCCAGGCAGGGATTCCAGATACGGCATGGAGCCAGTGTGAGGTCAGGACTCACACCTAGGAAGAGACCCAGACTCTGCCCTGATGCTTCTGCTGCCCTCAGCGTCTCTGTGAAGAGAGCTGTCCCTGCAAGCACAGTCAAAGATGCTCTTGGGAGTGTGTCGTCTGCATCAGGACCCACTGTGGGTGGAAGGACTACAGGGCACTGGGATGACAGCTTATGTGGTGGCACCCACATCCAGGGTGCACCTTATGGACAGTTCATCACAAATGCCCAGCAGAGCCCTGCCTGGCCCCAGAGTCTGCAGGCAAGCAACAGAGCAGGATGGCCACACGCTTGCCTTACCTGGCTGCTTCACGGTGACCTCTGTGCGCCCTGACACCTCTTCTGCCAGCTTGTACCAGGCGTAATTGGGGCTCAGCAGCCACTCCTCCACGTGGCAGTAGTAGCTGCCACTGTCGCTGACCTCCGCTCTCTGCACGGTGAGGCTGAACAGGCCCCCGGACACGTGCCTCTCAAACTGCAGCCGGGCCCTGAGGCCCTCCTCCTCGGCGTATGTGCCGTACTCAAAGGCCGAGTTGTGTGTGGTTTTCAGGATAAGCTTGCCGTCGGCGTCCGAGGGCTTGTGGACGTACCAGAGCACGGCAAAGTGCGAGTTCTGGCTGGTCTGCGACTTGACGGAGCAGTTCAGCTGAATGGGCCTGTTTTCCACCAGGGTGAGGGTTCGCTTTGATTTGCTCACCTGTAGCTTTGTCACTGCAAAGGAAAGGGAGTGGCTCAGAAGACGGTCACATAGTCCTAGAAACTTGGTTGATCCCAACCTTACTTCGAGGATGGGAACCTGGTGCTGCCTGGCTCAGTTCCCAAGGAACTTACAGGGGCTTCCTCTAAAACATGGCTCACTGTGAGACTCCCCTCCATCTATCTCCTCCTTGCCACACCCTGGTTTAGGTCCTCACCTGCTTTCTGTCTCCTGCCAGCTCTTCCTGCCACCCAGGGCCAGGCAGCAGAAGCACAAAGCCTGGCCCTGCTTACGTCTAATGGCTCCCAACTGCCTGAAGGTTCTAAAGGTTCTAAAAATTATTATCATAGTCTAGGGATTGAACTCAGGGCCTCTTGAGCCACCTCCTTCTGTTTATTTAGACTGTTTTGCTGATACTCCTATTTCCACTGCCCAAGTAGCTGGGACCACAGGTGTGTGTCACCACACGCGTCTTTTCCTTTTCCTAGCACAAAGCTCCTTTAGGAGCTGGCCCATTGCCCACCTGTCCTCAATTCTCTCCCAGGACTTGCCTCCAAACACTTTGCTCCCCACCATGAGTTTACCCTGAGCTCTGGCCTTTGCTCTGCCCAGCTCCACTGCCACCTCTCTACCCTGACCCTTTTCTCTCCTCATGCACTCCCCACCCCTCACTTCTGTCCCAGACTAGGTGGCTTGCTCAATACCCTCTGATACCCCAGGCCATTTCTTCTTAACCCTCCCTTCCACCCTAGATAGTGAGCTCTCAAGGACAGAGATCGGTCCTTTTCCACTCAATCAGCCAGTATTTCCAAGCACCTACTCTCTCTCCTACAGGCTGCCAAGTGCTAGGGGTACCCTAAAGACTAAGACAGTCTCAGCCCTGCACTCACTGCTAGTGGGTGTTCTCATCCATGCACCCCCAGAGTCTAGCACAGAGCCCGGCCTGGAAAGCACTCCATCAATGTTTGCTGAAACACGTGTGGGGTGGGTGAGCAGATGAGAGCGTGCTGGAGAATTATGGTAGCAGATAATGACAAGGTCCCGGGGAGGGTCTTTCTGGGGTGGGGGAAGGCTGAGAAGATGATGATGAGCAAAGGGACAGAGCAGAGCCAGTAGCAGTCTCCTCTTTCTCCATGCCATCCTGCTCCAAAAACAGCAGGGAGGGCAGACTCCAGAGCACCGCCCTGGTTGCTAATTAATGATGATGTTCACCTTTCAGGTGGTGAGAAGCCATGGTCTAATAAAATATATCTTATGAAGGTGATCTGTGACCTCACCCACTTGATCATATACTCAGCTCTGTTTTTTCCTACTAACTCCCCCTCCCCAATTAAAAACAGAGAGAAAAAAAGGAAAGGCAAAGAAGTAATTCTAAGTTTCTCTTAAGGAACTGATAGCAAAAGCACCACTCTACCGCCACTCGTGTCTTTTGCCAGCTGAGAAAAACTCAGGACAAGGAAAGACCCCACACAAGGAGATCAACCTGGGCTTCCTCCAGCTGTGCATCCTGACCTGTCCTAGCCCCCTTCTGGGAAGTCCCTTCCCTTCCTCCCCTACTGTTCTCTTTCCTTCCCTTCCTTTCTCTCTTTCCAGTACTGGGGTTTGAGCTCAGGGCTTTACACTTGCCAGGCAGGCACGCTACCACTTGAACCATGCCCCCCAGCCCTTTTTGCTTTTATTTTTTGAATAGGGTCCTGCTTTCTTGCCTGGGCTGGCCTGGATGGCAATTTACACTTCCTATTTACACTTCCCACACAGCTGAGATGACAGGAGTGTGCCACCACACCCAGTTTTTTATTAGTTGAGATGGCGCCTGGTGAACTTTTTGCCTAGGCTGGCCTTGGACCACGATCCTCCCAACACCCACCTCCCAAGTAGCTAGGATTACAGGCTTGAGCCATTGCACCTGAAAGTCTCATTTCTTAAGTCCAGCTGCAGGAGCAAAAGCTACACTGAGACACAGGACGGAGTCCTCCGGCCCTGACCCTGGGGCGCCCTGCCAGCTCTAGCCAACTGGCTTACTTAGATCTGGGTATGCAAAGCCAGCACATGTCCCAGAAGGAGTCAAAACTTTTGAAAGCCACACTGCCCCTTGGTCCCCCTGGAAATACCAATATTTCAGGTGGATGTGAAGCATTAGCCAGCTAAGGTGTGGCTCTATCCCAGCACTGTTACACAAAAGCACCTCTGAGGACATAAGGTGATTTCCTCTTCGCCAAGGATCTCTGAATTCACAATCTCAAGCCACAGAGAACACACCAGCTTCCATGTGAGAGAAGGTCCTACCCTCTGGTTTCATCTTTTTGTTAGCAAGCACAGTTTTCTGGCTTCTCCTTCCAATCACAGAAAGTCCTCCAGGGCACACTGGGAATCTAGGGCAGCGTTTGGACTGAATCTCCCAAGCCCTGGAAACTGGACTGGCATTAGCTTGCCCGTTGAATTCCCGCACACTTGAAGTCATCAGTTCCCTTCTCTTTCCTTTCTACCCAATTCATCAAATGCAAACAGTATCTCTATCAGTGTAAAGGCCACCACCTGAATTTTTCTTCGGTTCTTGGCCAAAACAAAACAAAAAAAAGCTGGGTTGTTCAGTGTAGAGTAGAAGGAGCTTTAAAATGTATTATTAATTGGGGCCAGATTATTTTTGCAACTGTTACTAAGGAAACCTCAATTGCTATAGTAACCGCATATGTTAAAACTGGAATCCTATGACTCAATTTCAGTTCAGTCACATGGTCTGAGAATGAGAATCCAAGGAAGAGAAATATTTCAAAGCAGTTTCATTTTTTTTTGCCTTTCCACGTCAAAATATTGTGAAGTGTCAAAGAACTTGAAAGCGAAGCACTTTTGAAATTTGGTGCACGCCTGACAGGTGGGCAAGAGGTCAACTCGTACTCTACGAGTTGACATCTCAGGGGTGTGAAGGACCTGTCCTGAAGCCCAGTGGAGACTGGAGGCTCCACAGCTAGTTAGGAAGCACTCAGGAGCCTGCCACGGCCCTGCCCTGGGCAGTGTGCGTGTGCACATGTGTGTCTGTGTGCCTCCCATCCCTCCACTGTTAGAAGACTCAAACCAATGAGGACCGAGGTGTGTTCATCTGCAAATAAGAGCAGTAACGGCACACATTCATTAGGATTAAACATAGTCTATAGAAAGAGTGTAACACAGCCCTGGTCTATAATAAGCACTCAGCAAATTTGACTCTTCGCATTCCCTTTCGGTTTCTCTGTCTGTCCCAAGTTCAAAGCTCAGTATCAGATGAGCAACTGTACTTCTACAACCAGTCTTCTTGTAGAACGGCAGCTTGACGGAAATGTAGCTCTCAGGTCCACTAAGTCAGGTGATTCAGATAGCTTTAAAGCCTGAGAAATCCTGGGCATAGATAGCTGCCTGGGGAAATGGATTAAGTAATACATGTAAAGAACTCAGGACTGCAACATGGTTAATCCCCAACAGAGAATCAGCAAGAGGAAGCAAGACCCCAACAGGAGGGTAAAAGGGCCAGAAGGGATGAGGACTCATTCTGTCTGCAGGAGCCACCTCCATGGGCAGCCCCGTCATCTCTGCAGCTGGACAGTTTCCATCCCAGACTTTAGATCAAAGCTTGAAGACTGTGTTTGGTAATACAGGAGAGGGTAGCATCAAGGTGAGAGACAGAAAGACAGAGGACCTTGGCAGTGAAGAACAGCAGCTCTTCCTTAACCAACCAGCCCAGACTTAGGATTCCAGTTGGTGTGTGTCTACAGACACAAAATGCATTTATTCCACTAGTAAAGGATTCCCTTAAACTCTGCTGGAACTCTGTTACATGCTGTTTTACACTGAAGGTCATTGTTATTTTTTTTTTTTTTTGGTGGTACTGAGATTTAAACTCAGTGCCTACACCTTGAGCCACTCTACCAGCCCTTTTTTGTGATGGGTTTTTTGTGAGATAGGTCTCATGAACTATTTGCCCAGGCTGGCTTTGAACCACAATCCTCCTCATCTTTGACTCCTGAGTAGCTAAGATTACAGGAGTGAGCCACTGGCGCCTGGCCTGAAGGTCTTCTCTTTCTGCAAAAATTCTAAGCACCCGAAGGGCAAAGTGACCCAACTGTTACTGAACAAATTAATAAGTGGGTGATGAAGGATAATTAATCCTGTGATAAGAGAGGAAACTTTTCAAAAGTTGTGACCTCTAAGCAAGGCTCTGAGAAATGAAATGAACAGGTGTTCAACAGATGGAGAAGGAAAATGAAAGGGCACTCCTAGATGCTCAGCTGAACCAAGATGACAACTTCTCTGGGCCCTGTGATCAAGGAACAGCAAATGGTCAGGTCCAGTGGATGAAGTTAGAAAGGTGAGCTTTGGCCAGACTGAAGGGCTCTGAGTTTGTACTTAATTCTGTGTCACTCAGGGTGGGATCTGTGGGTCTATGGCATAGTAACCTGGGAGCTTGCTAGCACCTACTGTGTCAGAGACTCTGGGGGAGGGGCCCAGCACTGGTCGGTTCATGAGCCCTCCAGGCAATTCTGGTGCACATTCATGTTTGAGGAGCCACAGGTATGGAGGTGAAGTGGTCACTGGGAAGTCTGGGGATGGTGGTTTCTGTACAGTGGTGCAAGCAGAAAGCAGAAGGGAGCAGGTCAGGAGAGATGAACAATGAGGGAAAAGCAGGAGGGAGGAGGACAAAGATCACTGACAGTAATGTCAGGGACAGAAGAGGCCAGAGGCTGTGTGCAGAAATATTTCAAATGGAGGGAAGCAAGTCAACCAAGAGACTGGGAGAGAATGAAGAGCGAGCTGCTAGGGACCGCCCCACCCTATTTCTCCAGGAAGCAGGCATAAACGCCTCTGTCAGTCATGCAGTCAGAGGGGCCTGTATCCTTGACACCCCTTGGCTCCCTGTCCTCTCTCTGCAGGGCCATGACCTACAGAGCGCCTAACAACCTCTTTCTCAGACGATTACAATTGGTCTGCACACGCGTCTCCTGCCTGCTGCCTTAGCCCAGCCAGGGAAATCTCCCAAATCGGC